ATGTTCAGAAGAGATGGTTATTTTTCCAATACAACCTTGAACGTCCAGAAATCTGGTTCTGAAAGCATACGATGCGCAGAGAGTGTGAAAGGCCAATCAGGGTGCCTTCTACATTATAGCGATAGCTTGGTAAATAGGTTCTATTCTCGCTCTTTGCCTTCGTTTTTTCTTTACTCCCACGGCTATCCCGGGATAGCCGATAAAAATCGAGATAAGGAGAACATTAATTCGGAATCACTGCGCAGGAACAGTGACGACACATAAAATTTTCAATTTGCATAAGACATCTCAGCAAATTATAATTTGATGTAGGTTGAAAGAAAAACACTGATCAAAACGTGTGATAAAAATATTAAATCTTAATTCTCGAAAAAAAGAAAAATGATCTATGCTAAAAGTAAATTACAATTGTAAATAATGAAAATGAAAAAAAGAGATATGGGTATTATCTGAAACATATTAGTTGGTTATGGGCATTATGCATAAGTAAAAAAAGAGCAACATAATTCATTTGCGTGTTAAAAATAAAAATGAAACAGATGCGGAAAATATTTTCACGTCATTAATTATAGGCCTGTTCTTTTTAGCTGAACTTTTTTGCATGGTTCATCTTTTCTCTTTTCTTACCAACGCAAGAACTTTAGCTAAAAAAGAACAGATTTAGACCTATTATTCTTTCTGGAATATTACATAACATTGTTCTCTACTCTGGAAATGTCGCCGACATTTGGCTTCTGCCGATAATAAGCAATTTGATATATAATAAAGCTCGACATCGTTTATTATCGTTTATTACTATAGCTGTCATTTCGATAAATACACGTTAAATTACATCGCTGATCGACGTTACCACCGGCAAGATTATCGTTCATGGGATCCGAAAAAGGATACAACGCTGCGTCAAGGCGTGTAAATGGAGAGAAGAACTCGAATGCTACTTCCTCTTTGAAAGTTATGGGAAGAATTAACTCGTTAACTACCGAAGAACTCGAAGAGAAATTTTCTTCTTCGTCTCATGGCAGCATCAGTTAATTGGTCTAATCGATCTTTCGCGATATTTCAGAAAATGATGTCGACATGTAACGTATAATATTTTAAACATTATTCGGGTTTAAATCCCTTAAAGTCAACAAATCTATCTTCGGGAAAAAACGCACATGTAAAAGCTGGATGTCGCGATGAAACTTCTCTTTCGAAAGGATTCTCTTTCGAAAGGTTTCGCGGTTGAGGTCGATTTGATGGTCTCAGTTGTAACTGTATACCTAAATCATGGACTGCAATTATCACGCTGAAGATAAAGTATGAAAATGTCAGCCATTCTGTTAAACAAAACATCATCGATATTCTATTAACTTTCCTTATGTTGATATTAAATCTTTGGTGTTAAAAACTGAGGATAATTTTAATATTGAATAATTCTGCAATTATTGAAAAGAGCAATCGATGATTTTCGCATCTATAAATTTGGGAAGCTTCAATCAATCTTTCTATTTCCATTGTTTAAATATAGAGATCACTTTAGAACATAAAAATTTGTCTTATCAAAAAAATTAGCTTCGTAGGTTGATTTAATTTGTATAATGAATGATACTATTTTATCAATAACACATAATAATTTTCTTTTTCTGACGGATTATATGTTATTTGCTGTGCAAAATGAGGAGTATATATAATCCATCAGAAAGAGAAAATTATTATGAAATGATTCGGATTCGTAAAATGTTTTAAGTCTCAATTATTTCTCGATCGGCCGAATACAACTATAGTTGGTATTTCACTGCGGAAGCTGCGATTAGTATATTGGTTCAGCTAATAAATAATTAAGCGAAATATGTTTTCTACGTTGTTGGGCGGAACTTGGCAATCAACGGGAATAATTCAGTAATCTTGATGTCAATGCGCGTACAATTAAATATACATTATTGTTCTGGTTATTATCACTTTCTTTTTATGTGCAACATGGCAAGACTGTTTACGTAATATTAACAATATTCTTTATGGAACAATTATATAATTATAGTATAAGAAATATCGGAGCGTTTATTCTAATTAAGTGAAACCATTATTTGTATCACATATTGGATAGTTTTAGATCAAATATAAAAATTCTTTACTCCTTTTTAAATATGTGCATTTTAATGCTTGTTAACATTCTGTTATTTACATTGCTGTAAAGAAATTATGCAGAAGTTGTTAAATAAATAAAACGTTATTGATACTAACGGAAACAATTATTATTAAAAATGATTTAGTAAAAAAAAGGAAAGAGAAAAAAGAAAAGAGAAGTTGAAAATAACGTAAGATATTTTAAATTTTCTTTTTTATACGCAATTTCTCTCTCTCTCTCTCTCTCTTGCCTCGAGATTTATATTCATAACGATTTGTTTTTATATGAGTTGTATCTTTGTATGATAAAAAAATAGGGATATTCACATAAAGATCAACAAATTTGAATATTCAAGCAACATGCGGGTTTCTTTAGCTGATATTTATTCTGCACACAGGATAAATCTGACACATACAAAATTCAACTGAAAACATTGTACGTATTGCATTCACGACGGAGTTGCATACCTGCACGTCTTACTCATTGTAAGAACCTTTCTCAATTATAAGCACCAAGAGATCCTTGATGATCTCTCACACAATAAGCTAAATAAACGCTTACTGAGCTGCATCGAATCGCACGTATGAGTACTAGGTCAAAGTTAATCGTTCCACATTAAAGAGGAAAGTAGTTTGATCGTAGTTTCTACATGAATTGGAGTTCCTTTATAAAGTCCAATTAGAGATAATAACATAGTGCTAATTTGGTTGTAATGTAACAAAAAGTAAAATATATGAGATTTAAGACATATTAATCGTATTACTATACTGTAGATGAACAAATATGCTATGCGAATATATGATGAATGAAATTGAAATGTAATAATATAGAAATAAATCTTTCTTACTAAAAATTTCGCGTAATTTAATTCTTTTCATTGATACTTGCGTATCTTTAAACTTGTGATCACGGAAAACGAAAAATGACTAGATTTTCGGGCTTAGATCTTTTAGATCGAAGTTTAAGAGATGATTTATTTTTTTGCGAAATAACATGAGAAATCGAGAGTCGAATGATGGAAACGATGTTCAGCAGTGGGACGTCGGTAGCGAATCGCGCGTCGAAAGCACGACGAGAACTTCCGTTCCGGTTACGAAACTCCCAGAAAGTCAGCAATGACCAGCCCCGGTCTGCGGTTTGCCGGTCGCTGGATCGACCGATGTGCGCTCGTACGCGCGCGCTTGTGTGCGTACCGATACGCAGCGGCGCGAAAACGCGAACGTGTAATCGCTCGAGGCTCTCCCTTGAATCACCCGTATGTACTCGCTTTCCAAGGATCTCGGCATCGTAGAAAGTTATTTGACATTTAGAGGGGCCCCGGAGTTTTTTGACCCACCCCGCATGCATACTTGTAGCCGCGTGCCGCCAAGCGCGAGCTATTACTTCGCGGGGGTACACGTACGCGCGGAGACAATACGTTGCAGCGAGATGATTATTAAATCCCTACGGGGGGGGATTTACGGAAATGCGCGATGTAACGCGGTACACCTTAAAACGGAAGAAGACAAATTTCGCGTTATACCGTAATTATTCGAATGACGGACACATTTGTGGCAGAACATTTTTGTAAATTTATAGTAAGTTATAAATTAGATAGATATTAAATATCTATTAGGCCGAAAGACACTAATCGAAACTAACGAGATTTTATTATCTATTTACTTCCCCGAGACTTTGCACGTCGAACTTTCCGTTGGCTTCGAAGCAACTTGATGCCTCGTTAAAAGCACTTGTATAATTACTCTTAATTTCTCTTGATGTTTACGAATATCAAATATCCGGTAGTTTCTGATATACCTCGTCTGAAGATGTTGTCGTAAGTTTCATGGTAAAATCAGAGGGACCAGTCTGGAATTTCTATCCGCCTCATTAAACGTTCAGGGCCCATGGAGGCGCGTTAATTGTTATCACGTTGGCGAGTAGCGTGCCGTTAACGTAACGTATAACGTCAACGTAACGCGAAATTCACCGTCCGAAATACACCGCGAGAAAGTCTCACCGCGTTCTTTCTTCTTGCTTTCTCTTTGCACGCCCATTACGTAACGAGAAGCGAGGTCGTCCGTATTGTCTGTGTACGTCGCTATTCATCCGTTCCTATATCATCGATCTTTATTAATCCTGCATCGAAAGCCGCCCGCTGACCGAGCCAAACTGGGAAACAAGTGCATCGTCAAGCACTTTACATTTCTGCATTACATAAGCGGTTACAAGTTGAACGGCATTTGGCATACGCGTAACATTGAGATAGACGGGTATTTTATACGACTGTTAGTTTTAATTCACGCATCTCTCATGGAGCTGTGAATCCTGAATGAATTAAACTTTAAAGAATGTATATCTATTTCCAAGGATATGTGCATCACTTTGGTGTTTCCAAGATATGTTGAAACTTATAACATATTTCCAATATATATAGAAAATATTTTAATTTATACATATGCATATATTACTTTATATATGCTATTTATATTAATAATATAAATATATATTCAAATTTTACAAAATTATTACAATGTGAGTGAAAGTTTCATCATTTGTTGTGTCGAAAATTCCTTAAAAAATGTTTTCTTCATTCCATTTTGTTTATCCCAACATTTTTATATCCCTTAAGTACATCTATTTCATTTTTATGTTAATATATATTACACAGAATAGTGTAAACTTTCTAATATTAACTGCATTTGATTGATGCTTATTGTTGAAGTCACCAGTTATCACCTTTAACTCACATTACCGATCCGTTATATCAATATGCGAGAGATTGAACGCTACCAAAGTTGGAATGAACTCGCTATGAATTAATTATTTGCGAAACTCTCACTTTGGCATATTGTATTATACGTCTCCGGCGATGATGAATTATTAATGAGATACACTATTTTTCTCATTGCAGGAGGTGCGAGCGGCATCGCTGATTCTCTGCTTGGGAATTCTGCTCGCGACAATACATGATGGTAAGTCTTTTTCTTCATAAGAGAAACAGTTAAAATTTAATTTTTGCAATTTTCATTATTTTATTTTTTATTTATTTTATTTTTTATTACGTACAGAAAGTTCAATTATAAGTACATTTACCAACTAATAATCGAATCTTTGATTTTAATTTTAAGTTAATTTTCTTTTAGCAAGAATTTAACTACGTACCAGTCTGTCTAGTTTTTAAAATTTAATAATTTAATAAACCCCGCAGACTGAAATTCTTTTAAGAGGATTTTTTTATTTTATCGTAATGTTTAATGAGAAATTTTGAATTTTCTTTTTAGAAAATTTAAAATTTCTTACTGGGGAAAGGGGGGGGAGGGAGGGATAAAGATTTTTTAAAATTACTTCTTATTCCTGATTTATTATTGTTTGAAGATAGATTTATTTTTTTCTAAAATAAAATATTAAAATAAGATATGAAAGAATTAATATAACTATTTAATCCTATGCATCATGTACACCATACATTTTCAGAAAATTGAAATTAAAAAATAAGACGTCAATTTAATAAGAACACTTGTGGCAGAACAGGAATTATTCATTTTGTCCAATAAATATATAAATAAATAGCACTTATTTGTAAAAAAATCTTTTACTCTTTTTAAAAAATGTCTTTAAACTTCGAAAAAAAATGGAACAAATTAAGTTATTAAGATAATTTCTGACAATAGCCATAAGTGTGATTAAAATAATTCGTTTTTTAATATTAATTCATTGAGAGATCTAGAATCACACATAATTGCAGCTAAATCGTGCATACAATGTATAAAAATCAAATAGATCTGTTAATTATTCATGTTTTTATAAAAAAAAAAACAAATTTGTCTTTAATTAATAATAAATAGAGGACAAAAAATAATTTTGATAAATATTTAGCCATTTAAAAAGAAATTTCTAAAAACTCTATAAAAAATATCGCAATAAAGTAAAAAATTCTTCTGCAATATTATCTGTCCGATCTCCTTTGATCTTTAAGGAACATTTCGTATACTTACGTAATAGTAACAATAAAGAATTTCACGTCATTATAAAAGTACTATACGAAATAATGACATTA